CATCTCATGAAATTTTTAAATCGACATGGCAAAATAATTTTTCTTCCCCAGTTGAAGATTTGTTAAATGCAGGTGGTACAAAAGTTCTTGACGCTGGCTGCCATCCCGCCGCGCCTTGGTTAATGGATATGGCAAAAGAATATAGAAATTGTAAATTTTTTGGTACCGATATTTTACCCATTCCTGAACCAAAAAACAAACCAAAGAATCTTAACTTTTATCAATGTGATACCTTGATTGGATTACCTTTTGAAAACAATACCTTTGATTTTGTGTATCAGAAAATTTTGGTTTCCTCATTTTCGGTTGAAGATTAGGCGAAAGCCATTAATTAATTAATTAGGGTTTTGAAACCCGGAGGCTATTTGGAGGTAATTTCCTGGTTGATTTTAATTCATGCGTGTAATGAAACAAAAATTCACACAGATGAATATTATTTTTCTTTTTTAAGTTCATGGATCTCGTACAGTAAGTATCCAAGCAGCACCAGATTTCATAGAGTAATATAATAAATAGATTTACTGTAATTTCATTTACATATTTTATAATTCAATAGTGCACAAATTGTATGAATATAAAGGAATAGATCCCTATATTGTATACAAGTTGCCATTGATGTTAGAATTAACTGGGAGACTTAGCAACATTAACATGAAGAAAAAAGATTTTATTTCGGAATGCCCGGAAGAATTGGTGAATTGGTAAATAAATTAAACAAATATTTTTAGATTTTTTTTTTTCGCAATCGAAATAAACTAATTTTTTTTCTTCCTTTAATAGATCAATTCTCATTATTCCAGATTATTCACAAGTTATAAAAAACCCATCGTTGATTTCGTAGATGATTTAAGTTATGATAATTATGATGAAATGATTGAAAAGGGTCTCAAAGAATTTGATGAAAATCATCACTTCAATTAAAACTGGTAGAGTTTATGGACATAAAATTTAGAAAATATAAATTCGTAAATAAAATCACTTCTTACATAGGTTTCGCTTTGTGTTGAATTCTTATACATGAGTTTTAATTTTTAAGTAAATAAAATCTCGTATGACACTTTTTTTTGTAGATGAAATCTTTACCGTTCGCAGCGTAGCAAGCAAATCACTTTGTTAATATAAATTTAATTAAGTTCATTTTTATTGTAAAATTCAATATGTTTATTTTATTTTATTTTTTTTTACTTGCGTCAAAATAAATCAGTCTTCTTTACTCTTTTTATCATTGTTTTCTACGTGATCCTGTCTTGCCAAAAAAAAAGAAAAGGCCAAACTGGACCTATTTAAAAAAAAAAAGAAACAATTTTCTTTTTTTGAAAAGCATTTTCATAAATGTGTTATTGAAAGAGTTTAAACATTTGATAATAAAATGCTAATAAGAAATTCGCAATTTGGTGCATTAGTAATGTGTCACGTAATGCGTTATTATGATTGGATTTTTCAGACAAAGTGAAATATATTAAATTCTTTTTTTTTTACGTGAGATTATTGATTTATTGTACATTCATCAGTATGCTAACTTTTCGAACTATAAAAAAATTCTATACGATTAAATTGACATTTCTACATTTTTTGAAAGTTCCAAACGTCATTATTATTGTTCTCCTTTTTACTTTATAATATTTCATGTTGAATTTATTTTTCAACAATTTGGCTTTAAAGCTTAAAATTTTTAAACATGATATATTTTTAGATTATTAAAAAAAGTTTAAAGAAAGTTCTAATTAGTTTTTAAAAAAAAGTTAGTAATTGTATTTAACATATATTTGATTAAATTTTAAAGGATAAAATTTCAAATTACCGAAACATTTTTTTTGATAAAATTGAAATTTAAATATCAATTCTATACTATTAATATCAATATTTTCTTCTAGTTTTACACTATTACATTCTTATTTTAATAACAATTAAATATTAGATAACTTTCATGATTTCTAATTTTTAGATCTCATTTTATAAAATAAATCATTAAATAATGTTGAATCTTTATTACTTATTAGTAAGACTTCTATATATAAGATGTATGGTTTAGGATATATAATAAGTTACTAAGTAAATATATCAAGCTTAAAATGTAATAAAGAATTTTTAATATATAAATTTAAAATAACTCAACATTGTTTAATATATTTTTACTAAAGCTATAACTTAATATTATGATTTTAATTAAATATCTAGATTAAAATTTATTAGTTTTCAAGTTTAGTATTTTATTAAGTAGAATAAATTTAAAAACATATAATTTTAGTTAGTATTAATCATATTTATATATAGTATAACCTATTAATAATTAATCTTTCTTTTAAAAATTCACTTAAAATGATTAAAACAAAATATATATAGAAGTTTGTTAATAAAAAAAGAGAAAATCTGAAATTTTTTATTAATTTTAATTTCTAAGCTAATTTTGAATACATAACTGTGATTATAATTGTCACGCAAATACCCATATTTGAGAAATCAGTACAAACTCTAATCTCAAAATCAATTTGAGATTTAATTTACCAAACTATAATTTCGCAAATTAATTTGAACCTTCACCCAAATTTCAAATTTATTTCAAATACCTAACAACTTATACAGAAGAGTATTTATCATTTTCAGATATTTGTTTAAATTTTTTATAATCAAGTTTGTAAATAATATAATATTACACTATTTAATTATTTATTTATATATATTAAAATTAATTTATTTATCAATAAAGAAATTATATATTTTATATTATATGATCTCACTTATTTTTAAATGGTCTACTTCAAATTAATATTCCTTTTAATTTCACAGAGAAAATTCCATCAAAGTTTGTTCATTTTCATTTTGTTAACTTTATAACTTTTTCTGTTAAATCAAAAGACATCATTATATAGTATCTATCAAAATATCAACAAATAAAAGCTACTTATATATAATAAACAACTTTCTAGACCAGTAAAATAAAAAAGTAAGAAATGGATCTTCATAATTTTCAAAAAAAATATCTTTTCCTTTATCTAAGTATTAATTATTAATTTCCTTAGGTGAGTGCTTGAATTTAATTAGTCTTTATTGAATCCTAAAGATTTTAATGAATTTATTGTCTTATATATCAGTATTTTTTTTTTTTTTCCTACAAATTTGATGAAAACGTGTAAATGTGTAATGATCTACAAAGAGAACATTGAAATGTGCATTGCTGCACGAACTTGTGTTTAAACCTTTAAATGTTTACAAACAATAATCAAAAAAAGACATGTGAAAAAAATCATTTATAATGTTCTTTTCTCTTTGAAGTTATTTTTATCCATGAGGATGACCGATTTTGGTAATAAAAACAAAGCAAAATTCCGAAATCCAATGAACTTGCGTAATTAAGACCAAAAAAAAAAAAAAAAAATTATTTTCCAATAAGTTTATTATGATGTGTTATGATATTTAATCAGCTTTTTTTTTTAATCGAAAAATCTTTTGGCTACGGCAGTATTTTGTATCGCGAGGATAAAATATGTCGTTATTTCGCATACAATTTAATATTGTTTATTTGCTTGTTAAAATCAAAAAAAAAAAAAATCTTTTTTTTTGTCGTTCTTTATCTCATTTCATGTGCTAAAATGTGATTATCGTCAAATCGGCGAGTAATTTTTGCAGTTGCAAGCTTGAACGTACTTTTAGGTAGGCTACAAAAATTATAACGCGACATATGAATCTGAAAAACGCGCCAAAACCTGCAACAACTCATGTTTCGAAGGCGTTACGACTTTGGCACGTTTTTTCAGTGTTTTTCAAATGTCCCGACGATTTCCTTACGCACAATCGACGTTCTATTTTTATAGGAGAAGGCGTTAACATAAACCAATTGTTTGTCATATCTATGAAAGATGAGATATCTTGTCAAATGTTTAGCATCTCTTTTGTAAATCCTTTACATTATGTCCGGATGTCGGATACATAAATGATTTCTTTTATTAATTATCTCGATTCAAAGTAACTTAGAATTAAGATGTTAATTTTTTTTTTTTAACATAAATTTCGATAAATTTATGACAAGTTAATATAGGAATTTTATGTAACCATGTGGGTTAAATCAAATTTGTAGTAAATTTTAAGAATAATTTAAAATACTTTTTCCTTGAATAATTTGATATATGCGTGTGTATTTGTTATCCTTTGAAGAAAATATAAACTATACATTATAACTTATAATGGAGATGAATCATTACCAAAATGGCAAAAATTTCTATTTTATAAGATAGTTTTTACGATCTTTAAAATTTATCATGAGGAGATATTTTCTATAATTGCAGAAAATAAAATATGGGTAAACGTTAAAATTTATTTACGACTATCAGATCTAACTTCAACAGTATAATGATATCGTCTACTATTATTAATACATATTATCCCTAAGGCATATTAAAATTTGGTTAAATTCCAATCGGGAATTCTGAGAAATACGATGTTAAAAAGATGGTGTTCGGAGACTTTTGACTGAGGTCTGTATTTTTTGAAAAACTGAATTATAAAAAATTGATATAACGATAATAAAATCGTTTTATTAATATTTAAAAGTATTCACAATCAATTCTACTAGCCAAGAGATGAAGAAAAAATAGGTAGTAAATTTTTATTGATAATATATGCATATCTGGGGTAATTTGATTTTCACAATCGTTAAGGATCTTTATGAATGCAATATTTTATGCATATTTTTGTTTTTAAAAAGAACACTGTAATTTCGGATTAAATGATCGTTACTGCAGGATTTATTATTATTATTATTATTTTTGCTCGCGGAGAATCTTGTTTGAGTTAGAATGTTTTCTCTCTCGATTATATTTAAATGAAGCAAAGAAATAAAGTTCATTTTTGGATATTTGTCTAAGATATCTTTTCCTTGTCTCAATACTTTAATTCATCATGCAAGATTTGCACATATTAATGCTCGCGATAGCAAATTTTCCTATTTGTTGAAGCATTACCTTGTATGCAATTCTAAAGTGTACGCAGATTGAACGAAAACTCATAAACTTGAATTTATTGGATCAAACGACCGGACATTTGAGACGTCCAGAATTTTGACGTACTATACGATACAGGATCAATCGATTTTTTTTGATAGACTGTACTTCACTTATATGGAGGATAAATTTCAACCATGGAAAATGTTTCATAGGTCTCGCCAAACCATTCAATGTTATGTATGGAAAGGTATCGAGAACATCAGGCACGACCACTTTCGACATTTTCGAAGGTGAGGATCTTGTGGTGGAATCGCATAGCTAATGTTCTTTCCAAAGATTTTAGTGACCTCGAATATGACGGCATTCAGCAGTAGCAAGTACATCCAGCAAATCACATCAACCTCCAAACCTTATAAACCAAAAAAAGCCTCGATCAACCACAATTCTCTTATTTTTTTTTTTTTTGCTTGGTAGAGGTGAAAGTAAGTAAAGCGAATTAACAATTGGCGGAATTAATCAAGATAGATATCTTGAACCACTTACCTGGTCAATGGGCAACCATGAAGGAAACGTTGATACCGGGACCTCACTAATAATTATGCCACCTGCCGATGCTCGGCAAATTCATGAAGCAAACCTAGGGTGACTTGAGATGTTGATCCTGAGATTTTGTAGTCAAGGACAACGTAGAAGGTAATGATGATGAATGCTTTGAGGCGATATAGGGATTTGATATTGGTATCTATGCTATTTCTTTATCGTATTTATAATTGAAAGTTTAATGATGATGTTTAAGGATGTATACAGCATTTTCTGACCAATGCGATTTCCGAGTACAAGCTTGCGGATCCTGTTTTAGTAACGATATTCAAGCAGTGTAACACAATGATGAGCATTGTGTAACTTCGTATCTCGAAATTTTAACGGTCGAGACATGATTATATATGGAGATGTAGCATCGACCAATGAAGTAGCGTAGCGTGAGAAAATACTTAACGAGAACCTGTTTTAGTAACGATATACATGCAGTGTAATACGATGATGGGCATTGTGCATCTCGAAATTTTAACGGTCGAGACATGGTTATATATGGTGATTTAGTATGCGACCAATGAAGTAGCCCAGCGTGAGAAAATGCAAGTTCCGATGTACAACTGGTTTGTTTTGGAAAAGCTTATAAATGAGTTCATTATTTGGGTAAATTCAAATGGAAATCTACTTAAAAGCATATTAATTCTATTGTATTATAATTTTTATGTCGAAATAAATAAAAAGGCAAATACAATTTTGTCACGTGATTTAATTGTTTTTTAATAGATTACAGTGTGGTGGTGGTGGTTGTATTATTTATCTGATGATTATGATGGTACTACCACCTCCACCATCAACTTGTGAATGAAATAGATTAGTCAAGATTTGGTTAGCAGATCATCCTTAGACAAAATGGATGCCCATTATTGATATTTTGAAAATCATCATTTTTTTTTGCTTTGATTATTTATTTTGAAATAATAAAATCGATCAATCAAATATTTAAAATTCATAAAAAACATGCATCTTAACGCATTTGCCCGGCTAGCTCAATCGGTAGAGCGTGAGACTCTTAATCTCAAGGTTGTGGGTTCGACCCCCACGTTGGGCGCGGGATATGTTTTTCCTCGACATATTATTTTTTTTTTTTTTTCGTCGCCGTAAGTGTGTGGCAAAGTATCATACTAATTTCTAAACTTGTCTTAAAACAAGTAGATCGCCATCCTTTTTTTACTTTTTATATCTTTCATTACAAAAAGACGGATAAAGAGAAAATTCACACATTTTGCCATACAACTTTGCAACTAGCCACGACATAGAAAATAAAAACAATATTTCGTTTATTCAGGTGGTGAATCTTTATTCCAAACGAAAAAGATCAACATAACAGTAACATTATCGCTCGGTTTAGAATGATTTATAGCAGCTGCGGCTAATGCATTAGCTAATTTGTGAACATCATATCCTTTATCAAGCTCATCTGTAATAACTTCAACAACAGTTTGCTCATCATAAACATTCCACAACCCTAAAATAAAGACATGATAAGTATTACAAAAAAAAAAAAACAAGTTACAATGTTTACTTTTAGAAATTAAAAAATTATTTACCGTCTGAAGCAATCACCAGGAATTCATCTACTTCAGGAATAAGATCGATTTTATACGTATGAGGAACCGGAGTAATCCAATCTTTACCAGTTGGGGTATATGGGGTTTTAAAATCAAAATCACCTAGAGCTAATGATATTACCGAATAAAAATACGTAATTTTTTTAAATTTTTTTCATAAAATACATTCAAGGTAGAAAACGAACCTCTAGTCATATTAACGGAATGACCTGGACGAATGAGTCTTCCCTTTCTAATTTGTGCCTTCGCTTTAGCAAGTCTAATAAAAAGAAAAAAATTTTTTTTTTTTTTTTTTAAAAAAGGTTTTGAAATTCACTTCACTTAATTTCTATTACCTCTCAAGTTCTACTTCGTCATCTGTTCTATCGTCAGTGCTGACTGGTATAGCTTCGGGAATACGACCGGGTCTAGTACAAAGTACAGCAGAACTATCACCAACATTAGCGATATAAAAAGTATCAGAATTCTTTAAAAATAACGCGGCTATTGTAACGCATTATTATGAATTAATAATAATACCAAGATATGTTTTAAGAACAAAGACGAGAAAAATCAGCGCACCAGTAGCGGTAGTTCCACCTTGTTTTTCAGCACCAAATGTTAATCTTAATAAATAATCTTCTTGTTTAAATCCGTTAACAAAAGCTTTTTCGTAATTTTTAGTTTTAAATTCATAATCATTTACAATCAAATCGGCTAAATTTTCTTTGGCGTGCTTTAAAATCAAATTTATAAAATGATCGTTAATGATCCTCGAAAATCTCTTTTTTTTAAAAAAATTTTTACTTCGAGATCATTATTTGTACCTTTGAAAAGCTCCCATCTCCATGTCCATCATAAATGATAAATAATGAATATCCTTGATCATGAAAATAATGATTTCTAACATCAAAACTATCCTGTTGAACTTCACGATCCCCTTTTAAAGTTGCTATTCCAACATCTAAATCTACGAGTGACATATTTGGTTTCGAATTTAAATATTTAAAAAATTTATTGAAAGGAAAGAAGCTAAATATTTAAATCAATAATGATGTAAAGATGATGATCGAAAATTCAATAATTGAATGATCCCGCAACTGTACATATCTATCACGTAATAAATACGTCAAGGATAATAACCTAAACTCGGAGTTTAGATGGGCATTATGTCATTACATGTGACAAAAATTCATACATACAATAAAATATTCATTTCTAAAATATGGCACCTAAAGTCGGTAATGTATATAGCAGTTTTCAAGTTTATCAATACCATTATTGTCATTTTAAAACAACTATCTTCTGAACTGCAAAAAGTACATGATAGTTTGACCCAAGACAGAGAAGAGAATAAAGTTGTAACTCTTCTAGCAATAAATTCAAGTTCGTAGCATAGGATAAAACTTTATTTGGTAATCATGACGATCTCGATCTTGCACCCGCACATGACATGAGTCCTTGTGACATGCGTGACATGATTAGATTTCTGTCAATCCTTCAAAAAAATGACCGATTTATAGATAAAAAAACCAGCTCCACAAAACAAAACGTCCACATCTAGTACGGTTTGTGCCACAATAAATCATCAAACAAATTTGTTGATCTTACAAAAAAAATAAATAAAATTTTTTAATATAAAATTTAAAATATCTTAACATTGT